TAATTCCCTCAACCCTGGCAAACTATTTACTAAGTCTGCACTACTGTTAATCTTCTCATCATTCCTATCACCCATCTCCTTCCACCTATGACTGCATGACTGTAACTTGTTGCGGTACCCTTATAATTTATATCGATTGTTTCCTAATATGTTTTGATTGCTTACTTGTACCCTATGACTATCATTGTGTTGTACCTTACGATTCTTGACGAATGTATCTTGTCTTTTTATGTACACTGAGAGCATATGCATCAAAGACAAATTCCTTGAGTGTCCAGTCACACTTGGCCAATAAATAAATAATTCTAATTCTAATAATCTTGGGGAGAAGATTCCACAATGCAAGTGCCAGCAGTAAAGGCCCACCACCTAGGATCCATTAAGATCATTCATCTACCTGAGCACTCTTTACAATCTAGCGTCTTTATCGAAATTAGCAGCTGTTGCACAAGGTTTTGGATATGGTAAAATTCTAACACATGCAAAAAGGCGTGCAAAATAAGTTTCAATGCTCCTGAATTATAATTTGATTCTGTATTGATTTCACATTCTTGATTCAGATTTCTTGGAAGACGGATAAGATGAAAAATAACGGATAGAGGTGGCATTATAGCAAACACCACACTTAAAAATACTGTAGCAACTAGTAAAACAAAGTGAAATGTTACCACATTTTTTATTATAGCACACCATAATAAGCAGAGAAGGATCAGTTGCCAGTGAGTTCTATTCCATTCTCCTCATAGTTGAAAATCTTGAAACATCTCTAAGGAACAAAAGGAGTATATTCAAGTGAAGAAAGATAAGCATGAGAAAAATTTTCAAATCACTGGTTTGTGTCACAGACTCTTGAGTAACCTATAGTTTTATTTGGTGATTAGAAGAAGAAAAAAGAGGATGCAAGATTTCTGCAACTGAATTAAACTGCTTGTAGTGGCACCATTGTATTTTTCTCCAAATCAGTGTCTACATCTGGAGAAAATATTGCTGGGCTGCAGCTTCTATTCATGAACCTAATTGCTTCCAACCTGCCAGGATGAAGGAATTTCTATACTGTGTTGAACTTACAAAGTTTTCATGATGAATCAGTTGTCAAATCTAATGGCCAAGGAGTTTCCAAAATTTAAATCAGGAGCTGTTCCAGGAGCTCCTGGAGATGTCAGAAGTTTAATGTCTTATATCCTTCATACATTGGAATTAGTAACTAAAAAGTCACAGCAAGAGTGCTCCAATGCTAGTGCTTTAAGCAGACCATTGGCAATGACTACCATTACTATTCCTTATAAGTCTGAAGTGAGAGTAACTGCACCTTATTCTGAAGGAAGGATAGACGACGAGTCCAAACTCCAGTTCTCAAAACTCAGACCATCCATTCCTTTTTTAAAACTCTTCCGTGATCAAACTTGGAATTGCGGCTTCAAGTAAAACAGATGGAAAGATCTATTAGTCGGTTTTGTGGGAAGCTTCTTTCAAAATCAGAAATTCTGTCACAAAGTCATAAATTCCGATTGAAAATTAAGCATTCATATATGCAAAAATAGAGCACAGGCTAACAGATTGGAATTTTGAAAACAAAACTCATAAAAAGTTGTAGATCTGTGCTAGTATCTAAAAAAAATGTAGCACTCTGTGGGTATCCTACCCCATTTTGTAGCTTGATTTTGGCTTCATCTGGAGTTTAGTGTGTGTATCAAAAAGACTGAAAAGGTAACAGAAATGTTTCTTGACTTACAACTGTTTGTTTACCATATTTCCCCAAAAATACAACCTACCCCGAAAATGAGTCCTAGCTTGATTTCTGCACACATGCCCAATAAAAGCCCTATCCCTAAAATAAGCCCTAATTAAGACCCCGCCCACTCCAGGGTGCACGTGTAAAAATTAAGCTAGGGTGGGGATGAGGGGTGGTGGAGCTGCCCCACTACTTACCTTTGGACAGTTGCAGCCAGGCTTCGCACACTCCGACACCTGCCTTGCCAGTCCATTCCTTCTGCAGCCGGCAAGGCTTACCTGAAGGCCTCTGCAGCCGACAATAGAGCTCCGGATCAATCTGGAGCTCTGTTATCGGCTGCAGAGGCCTTCAGGAAAGCCTTGCTAGCCTTGCCGGCCGCAGAAGAAGTTCCTGAAGGCCTCTGATAACGAAAAGGAAGCCAGGGGCGAGGAAGCAAGTGAGGTGAATCAGTGGAAGATACCTCCCCTTCCCAAAAAAATAAGACCTGTTGCCTTTTTTGGTGGCAAAAAGAAAGAAGACAGGGTCTTATTTTCGGGAAAACACGGGTAGAAACCATTTGAAGTTACAACGGCACTGAAAAAAATGGCATGACCATTTTTCATATGACTGTGGAGGCATCCCCATTCAGATGCTTGTGACTGGCATGTGTTTATGATAGTTGCAGTGTCCCAGGATCATGTGACCATTTTTTGAGATCTTCTGACTAGCAGAGTCAATGGGGAAGTCGGATTCGCTTAACAACCATGTTACTAACTTAACAACCTCAGTGATTCACTTGACAACTGTGGCAAGAAAGGTTGTAAAATGGAGCAAACTGTAAAATGGGGCAAGACTCAACAACTGTCTTGCTTAGCAATGGAAATTGGTACATGGGGCTCCCCTGGAGGAGCACCCGGAGGCTCCAACTGGTGCAGAGTGCAGCCGCGTGGGTGGTTATGGGAGCGACGTGGCGTTCCCATGTAATACCTCTCCTGCGCGAGCTGCACTGGCTCCCAGTGGTCTTCCGGGTGCGCTTCAAGGTTTTGGTTATGATCTGTCCCCGTACCCACACACACACACACAGCCAGTCGAGGGTTAAGGAAACACTTTGGAACGCACCCAGTTCTTATCTCCCACTTGGCAGCGATAGACACACCGTCTGCCAAGTGACTTTATTTTCAAAGTAAAACAGAAAGACAAATACTCAAAAGTCCAAATGTCCGACACTTTAAATCTTTCTTTCAGCAGCTCCGGACAAGGCTTTAGTGTCTATCCAAGGTTTGCTTTGTTCGTCACAAAAATCCTTGACCACCACCCTCTATTATATAGTCTCTGGGGTGTGGTCCAGTGACTCAGTTCTAATCCCTAGCACGCCTCCTAAGCTGCTGCAAACGTTTATCACGCCTTCGGAGGCGTGCGTCCAGGAATGATGTTTCTTTATCACTCTGATCCGAATCAGCTGTCTCCTCTCCCTCGGCCGGCACTTGAGACAATGCCAGAGGGGAGGGGCCTGGAGAGGGAGGCCTGGTTGACTCCTCTTCCTCATGCTTGGAGCTTTCTTCCTCCGATGGGACAGGCTCAGAGGGCGGGGCCACAACAGGTTACCACCTTTAGAACACTCCATGGCTTAGGACCTGGATACTTATAGGACCACCTGCTGCCACCAATAGCCTCTCACCGGCGAGTACACTCTCACAGAGAGGAGCTCCTCAGGGTGCCGTCAGCCAAACAGTGTCAGCTGGCCACCCCCAGGGGGAGAGCCTTCTCTGTGGGGGCACCTGTTATCTGGAATGAGCTCCCCCCCCCCCGGAGATATGGAGGATGCTGGATTTACGGACCTTCCGCCGCGCCCTCAAAACCTTTTTATTCCAACAGGCTGGTCTGGCCTAACTTTCCCTTTTAAATGGTATATGAGTAATTTTAAATCTGTTTTTAAATATGGGGATGTTTTAATTCGTCTCGGGCCAAATTGTTTAATACGTTTTTATACTGTTTTAAATTTTATAATCTGTGTGTTTTATCTTTTTGGCTGTTCACTGCCCTGAGTCCTTCGGGAGTAGGCGGTATATAAATCTAATAAAATTAATTAATTAAATAAATAAATATTGGGCTCAATTGTGGTTATAAACCCTTTATAATTTTGATTTGGTATGTGTGAGAAATGTATGTGCGATTGAGGTATACAGTTTCACAGATCGGAGAGAAGACAATATTTTTTCACTACAGTAATGAGCCATGTCACTTTTCCTTATGAACTCAGTAAGAGGTATGGGGAGGTCACGCTATTATTTTAAAATATAATCTACATTTATAAAATATATTTCTAAAACATACCTCAAGAGCAGCGGTGGGTTTCACATTATGTTACTACCGGTTTGCCTCAGACACACTCGTTTCGTGTGAGTGCGCGCCTGATTATCATGTGCCTGCCTTCCACACATGCGCCCAGCCTTCTGCGCACGTGCTTTGCTCGCGCACGCACCTTCCATGCATGCACCCGGCCTCAAAAATGTGCCTAAATAGGATGGCATAGAACTAGGCTGGGCAGGCCCTCCTGCAATTTCCGCTACAGGTTCGGGCAAACAAGTCCGAACCAGCTGAATACCACCTCTGCTCAAGAGGAAAAACCTTTCAAAAAATTGCTCATCTTTTAATAAATAAGGATTATTGTTTAAAAAAAGTATTTTAATAGAAAAATCCCACCCCCCAACCCCATGGAATGCATTTTCATAGAAAGCCAAATGACACTCAAATTTTTTGGACTTTTAAAAAAACCTTTAACCCAGGCTTCTTGGCATTTCTCAGGCTTGGCATCCAACTTCCCCAGATTTCTTTACCTTCAAGATATATCCAGAAGAATATGAACTATTTTGTGGTCTTGAATCTTCTATTCCATAGAAAGGATGGGAATGTTTTCTCCCGATTAAAAATATTTTTATATTTTACTCATACATATTTGCCTCTAACTCATATAAAACAGAGAGATGTGCGTATATTACCATTGCATGATTACATTATTTTAGTTTGGACCCTAAAGCTAAATATTTGGAAGTGTTACAAATCCTTAGCCTCGCATATATAGTTAAGCTGTTAAATGTATATAAAAGGTGATGAACAAGAATAGCTGAATGTCAGCTGTCATGTTTTCTCTAATACCCGAGATTACAAAACTGCTTACTAGTTGTTTAATCCAAGAATGCAACAAAGAGCGTTTTATGTTCTCAGAGAACCAGGTGCACTTTGTCTAAAATTAGCAAACCTTTGTAATATTCATTTGCTCTGCACACAGGTTCATACCAAGTTTCACTGCAGACAAGCACACGCTCCAGGCACTGATACATCAAGTTTGACATTTTCCTATAGTGGTACCGTTCTTGCCAGTCGGGGAGGTAAGTGACCACATTGCCTTCTATATATAGTGCTGGATACAAGTTGGCCAACGCTAGTGCTGAATTCATAGAGCAAAATTTGGTTGCCAACCTTGGGGATGGGGGAAGAGAACAAAGACATTTCTGACCTGCTTTGAAGAAGCTTACACCTAGTTCTCATTGCCCATTTGCCTGGGGGTGGTTGTATGCCTAAACTATATGACTTTACTGAGTCAGGATATGAGTATGTAAATCAAACACATCATCTTTGTTACAGTTTAAGTGCTTAAAAAATGGGGGAGGATAAGGAGCAGAAACAGGAGTCCGAGGTCAGCTGGGTCCATTATCAGGTGTGGATCTGTGTCACTCACTGGCAGAATTAGATGTTATTAAATTAAGCAGGAGTTACCCTAAAGCAGGGGTGTCAAACTCATGTCGTCATGGCGGTGTCACATGATGTATTGGGACTTTCCCCCCCCCTTTGCAAAACCGGGCATGGGCCTGGCCAATGCATGACACATCTGGCCCACGGGAGTTTGACAGCCCTGCCCTAAAGCAATACTCATTTACCAGATTTTCAGCTCTCTCATTCTTCAGCACAGTTAGCTTTACTATATGGCTTTAAATCATTATGGTATTTTTCCACTGTTAATTTCATTGCAATGACTGGTGGATATGAAGAAGTGTTCAGGAAAGCGTCAACTGTGAGCTACCGTTTATACAGAGTGAAGCATGGAAATTAAATATCAGGCTGCTAATTTCAGCATTAACTGTTTCAGACTTCAGGGCGTTTTCACTTCACAATTAGGATTGGCAATTCTGGCAACTATAAAGAAAACAAGTGACCACCGCAGACTTATGACCTTTATGTCTGCTGTAGTCCTTAAGCTAAACTAGGAGTGGGTGTGCTATCCTTAAAATGACCTCCTGCCAAATCCCCTCATGCAAAAGAGAAACATAAATGTTAGGTCCACCTAGTTTGTAGTCACAAAAGGACATTTATCAGCCTGCACTTGCAGTATAGAATGTTTATACCAGTGGTAGGATTCAAAATTTTTTACTACCGGTTCTGTGGGTGTGTCTTGGTGGGCGTGTTTTGGTGGGCGTAGCAGGGGAAGGATACTGTAAAATCTCCATTCCCACCCCACTCCAAGGGAAGGTTATTGCAAAATCCCCATTTCTTCCCGATCAGCTGGGACTTGAGAGGCAGAGAATAAATGGGGGCGGGGCCAGTCAGAGGTGGTATTTGCCGGTTCTCCGAACTACTCAAAATTTCCGCTACCGGTTCTCCAGAATTGGTCAGAACCTACTGAATACCACCTCTGGTTTATACCTGATTTACACTATAGCATAATTTAAATTTATTAAACATAATTCATTAATCAAATAGCGTTAAGTAAAACGGCTTTTACAGGTATCATACCAAAGTTAATTCCACCCCCCTCATTTTAATGTGTGTTAAAGGATGACTTTAGTGTTAAATATTGTTCTGGGCCTTAACCCCAGTAATAGCAGATGTGTGGTCAACAGTCAGACACACCTGCCCAAATGCAAGGGATCAAAGGCAGAATTCTGTTTGGGGTGGAATAAGAACTTCCAATGAAATCATGGAAGTATTCCTTGTTTTGCGATGCAGTTTGCCTGTCTGATATGTGAGGCTATAGATGGCTCACTTGCACGGACAAGGGGAAAAGAACAACGGAAGAATTGCTTATATGCATTCCCAATTTTATTTCTGTCGAGCATATGCTTGTAACTTGACAGAAATGTAAGAAAGTGATAGTTAAAGAAACACCTGACCAGAGGTGGGTTTCAGCAGGTTCTGACCAGTTCTGGAGAACCGGTAGCGGAAATTTTGAGTAGTTTGGAGAACTGGTAGTAAAAATTCTGACTGGCCCCGCCCCCATCTATTCTTTGCCTCCCAAGTCCCAGCTGATCGGGCTGAAATGGGGATTTTGCAGTAACCTTCCCCTGGATTGGGGTGGGAATGGAAATTTTACAGTATCTTTCCCCCGCCATGTCCACCAAGCCACGCCCACTAAGCCACGCCCACAGAACCGGTAGTAAAAGAATTTGAAACCCACCACTGCTTCTGACCCTGAAAATAGCTCTTAAAACCTTCTTGACTATATAAAATGTAGTGTAATAAAAGATATTTAGTAATGTATGCTTGGCTTGTTCATAAAAATAGGTTTATGATGTAGAGATGTCATCTTGTCTTTTGATATGATACAAATTTATGCAGTCAAATTTTTTTCATTTTAAAATGATTTTACATGTGGAAGTTTGTGATTCTACAAACACTGGGTGTAGCTGCTTCTGAGTATTTGCTCTACTAGGGTTCCACTACCTTTTCTAATCGTTGGAAATGATGTTAAAGCCATATAAAAAGCCACAAGACAAATGGATGAAACTTCTACTTGACATGGTTTGTCCCAAGAGGACCAATATTGTAGGTTGACTTTCAAGTCTTTTTAAAATGGAAAGTTGAACGTTAAACTGGAAAGTTAGTGTTAAAAGGAAAGAACTTGTTTTAGTGGAGATGTGAAGTAAACCAAGAAAATATTTAATTTTTATATTCATGATCTAAATGAAGTAAAGGAAAAGAAATGTTACTGTTACTAAGCATAACGAATAGAGGATAAGTACTGCAATTTGGGGGGGGGGGACACTGAATTTAGCAATTGAAATACAAAATTTCAATTTAAGTTTTAAGCAAGAAAATTAATAGCAATAGCACTTAGATTTATATACCACTTCACAGTGCTTTACAGCCTCTCTAAGTGGTTTACAGTGTCAGCCTATTGCCCCAACGATCTGGGTTCTCATTTTACCGACCTCGGAAGGGAGGAACGCTAAGTCAACCTTGAGTCGGTCAGAATTGAACTGCTGGCAGCTGGCAGTCAGTCAGCAGAAGTAGTCTGCAGTATTGCATTCTAACCACTGCGCCATCACGGCTCTTAAAAACTTTGTTATGGCTATTCACAGAGGTGATAATTCTTGGTAGCTTCATTTTACAGAGGTAGACTCCAAGTAAAGGAAAAAAAGAGGGAAAAACATTCTCCATATTTGACAGACCTTAGTGATGTCTCTTTCTCTTTTCTTTATTTTAAGACAAATGGTTGCCCAAATTTAACTTTTTCCTCTAGTCCTTAGATTACTTTTCTTTATGTCCTTCTTTTCTACTAAAGCTCAAAGATTAAATATTTCTTCCCTCCAATGTTCTCCTTGTGATGGTATCCCTGTGATGTAAGATAAATTGAAAGACGGTATTTGTCAATCACTCTGTGAATATCCAAGGCTGAATAAAATCCCCTGATTCTGGTCGAAGACCTACAGACACAAAAATAATGGATAAATCTAATTTTAACTAACAGGGCAGAAATTTCAAAATAATCCCTCCAGTTTTGGTTTACAAAGGCTTTTCTATTTACTTTTGCTACTTCATACATCTTTAAAGGGTTTTGAAGTATCTCTACGATCAGACCTGATCAGGATTTTCTGTTAACCACAATTTATAAACCAGTTTATAATATAGATTTAGAGGAAACTATGATGAACATTAATAGTCATGGTAATGATGATGATCAGGGGTGGGTTCTACTTACCTTTACTACTGGTTCGCAACGATAGTAAAAGCCCCTTGATGACGTCGGGGCAGATGGGCGGAGCCTCCCGCCAGTTTTACTACCGGTATTATAGAACTGGACAGAACCGGGAGCAAACCACCACTGATGATGATGTAATATTAACTGTGATTAAGGCTGGCAGATGAGGAAGTACGGTAGGTTGGAAACTTTAGATCCTGTAGTTTGATGCAGCGAAGGAAGAAAAATTTTGCTAACATATTTTAAAAATATTAACGAGTCATCTGCCTGAGTTTCTTTCTTTTATATCATTCCTCCAGAGAAATGATCATGTCAAGGCCTAGTCTGTCAAGGCTGGAGGAACCTTGATTGCGATTTATTTTTTGTGAAAGATATTTGAGCATTTGCCAGATGCAGTTGTTCTTCTGCATATATTTCTACAGTTGAATTACTTAGTGTTTAGACATTACTGTAGAACTTGTGACTTGAGCACTGCAGTCTTGGTTTGTATATTTTTTAATTTATTACTCAGTTTGCATAGCTAACCATCTCAGATATGTAATGCTTAACAGCTCATGCTGCTAAAAAACATGCAAATATATAATTAAGCAATAACAACAACAAAAGCATTAAAAGCATTAAAAATGTGTGTGGTCAAGAGTTGTATTTCTGGTCTGATTTGCATATTATGTGTTCTCTGTCACGTAGACCAGGGGTCTCCAACCTTGGCAACTTTAAGCTTGGAGGACTTCAATTCCAGAATTCCCAAGCCATCTGGCTGTGGAATTCTGAGAGTTGAATCCTCCAGGCTTAAAGTTGCCAAGATTGAAGAGCCCTGATGTAGACAGTAATTAACTCAGTTGTGACCTCTTTCAGTTAATTAGAGGAATTTTCTCAACTTCTGTGTACCCATAGAATCATTCATGCCCTCTTGTAACATTGGATAGAGAGCAAATGTGACCCCTAGCATTCCTTTGTACCATTGGATAGAGGATAGAAGTGGCCCTTAATATCCTCTGTAATTCTCAGAGACCCACAGAGTGGATGAGGGGGAAAAATGACTCTTTCTTTGATCTTTTAAAGTTTGGAAGTTAAGTTAATAAACCATGTGTTCAATGGTGAGTTGCCCCTGGTTCAGACCGGTTCGCAAGAACCGGTAGTAAAACTGGCGGGAAGCACCGCCCACTGATCCAGACGTCATCATAAGTGATCTGCACACGCACAGAAGAGCGTGCGAGAGAGCAAAGTAGGTGCGCGCACATGGGCACGATGTGAACCGGTAGTAAAGGTAGGTAGAACCCACCCCTGCGTGTGTTCTTTTAAATGACCTAAGGTGTGTAGGCATTTTTTTAAAAAATCCCCAAGACTTTCTGGAAAAGGGAGTCCTGGATTTCATTTGATTTCATTCATCAACTATACTGTTGTGGCCCCGCCCTCTGAGCCTATCCCATCGGAGGAAGAAAGCTCCGAGCATGAGGAAGAGGAGTCAGCCAGGCCTCCCTCTCCAGGCCCCTCCCCTCTGGCACTGTCTCAGGTGCCGGCCGAGGGAGAGGAGATTAGCCGGGAAACAGGTGTCTCGATGAGAGTGAAGGAGAGACATCATTCCTGGACGCACGCCACCGAAGGCGTGATAAACGATTGCAGCAGCTCAGGAGGCGTGGTAGGGATTAGAACTGAGTCACTGGACCACACCCCAGAGACTATATAATAGAGGGTGGTGGCCAGTGATCCCTGTGACGAACAAAAATAAACCTTGGATAGTCACTAAAGCATCGTTCGAAACTGCTGAGAGGAATATTATTTTCTGTTGGACTCTTGTACGCTGAGTATATTATCTTTCTGTTTCTGTGGAAATAAAGCACTTGGCAGACGGTGTGTATATCGCTGCCAAGTTGGAGATAAAGACCTGGGTGTGTGCCAAGTGCTTCCTTAACCCTCGGCTGGCTGTGTTTGTGTGTGTGTGTGGACGGGGACAGATCATATACATGGCTGCCCACTTGACAAAAAAGTGACTCTGAACAGCAAGCAATAGAACTATAAAATTGTTAACATATAAAAAACTATTATTCATAAAAAATTAAAAACCACAGTTAAAAGCTAAGAGAGGCAGCAGATGTCAATGACAATGGAGATACTTCAGTAGCTCATGGTCTCCACACATGATGGCATAACCAGGTGTTGAGGGATGCCAGAAAATTAATTGCGATTTGGGTGCTTGGCAACCAGCATGCATTTATGCATATGTACTTATTTAGCATCCCATAGTCACATGATCCATGTTTGCAACTTTCCCAGCCAGTTTCTGGCAAGAAAGTCAATAGGGAAACTAGCAGGAAATTGGTAAGTGAGGACTACCTATAGATAGTTAACTTGTATATTTTATCAAAATCTTTTTCACCGTCAAGCAATAGAAATACAGCTTTCTCTTTTCTATCTTTATTCAAAACAATCAAATCTATTGCCAAACAAATATTATTTAGAATAGAATAGAATAGAATAGAATTCTTTATTGGCCAAGTGTGATTGGACACACAAGGAATTTGTCTTTGGTCCATATGCTCTCAGTGTACATAAAAAGACAAGATACATTCGTCAAGAATCATAAGGTACAACTCTTAATGATAGTCATAGGGTACAAATAAGCAATCAAATCATACTAGGAAACAATCAATATCAATATAAATCGTAAGGATACAAGCAACAAAGTTACAGCCATGCAGTCATAAGTGGGAGGAGATGAGTGATACGAACGATGAGAAGACTAATAGTAATGCAGCCTTAATGAATAGTTTGACAGTGTTGAGGGAATTATTTGTTTAGCAGAGTGATGGCGTTCGGGAAAAAACTATTCTTGTGTCTAGTTGTCTTGGTGTACAGTGCTCTATTGTGTTGTTTTGAGGGTAGGAGTTGAAACAATTTATGTCCAGAATGCGAGGGGTCGCATATATTTGATGCATGCCTAGTTTTGATGAACTCAGCTGAAGAAATTTTTGCTAGAGAACTGTTAAGATTTTAATAGTTAATCAATGAAGTAGGATTATAGTTAACATATAATGTATGATCTTTTCTGGGTTTTGGTGTGACTGTTATATAAACTTCATTAAATGAAGATGGATTTCAATTTTTCCTTATATAGTTGATAGAGCTTAGGAACAAATATACCAATTCTTCTAGACCATTTCATAAGAAATGCATTAAGCTTCAGTGTTCATAGCCAATATCAATTTTTTTTATCTCATCCACAACTGAAGGAGTATGTATAATAATATTATTGAATGCACGTGCTGTTATTAGTCTATGGAGGAAAATACAAGTTAAATATGAGTTGAATAATTTCACAATGATCTGAATGCTGTCTTAACATGCTTACCTTAAAAAAACAACAGAGAAATGATGAGGAATATAGCTGGAATTTGGCAAATAGTTTGGGGGCAAAAAAAAAAAAAAAAAGAGAGAGAGAGAGAGAGTAAGAAATCAGTAGAACCATGATGTGAAGAAGATGTTTAGATCTCTTGAAGATACCATTTTCCATTTTTAAAAATTGTACTTGACTTACACAGTAAACTTGAAAAACTGTCTGTTGAAGCTTTTAAAGCTAAAATTAGCTTCTCACATTTAGATCTTTGCCTGTATAAAATCTAATAAATTTTCCAACAGTTGAACATTTCCTTCAAGCTTAGTTTGTCACATTTAGAATCCTTCTGAATCCATTAGATCAGGGGTCAGCAACCTGCGGCTCTGGAGCCGCATGTGGCCCTTTCACCCTCTACTGTGGCTCCCTATCATTCAAAATATGTGTCACAACCACCAATGTGCGACACTCACCGGCATGTGATTTATTGAGCTTTTCAACCCCCGGTAGCCCAACCATGGATAAATCCAAGAAAATAAAAGTTTCAGAAGAAAACAGAACATTTAATTCAACTACTGTACATATGCTACTTTTGTGGCCACTCAAGAAATAGTCAGGCACGGGAAGGGTTTTGTGGCTCCCGATGTTTTCTTTTCTGTGGGAAACGGGTCCAAATGGCTCTTTTAGTGTTTAAGGTTGCAGACCCCTACATTAGATTCACCCTTCACTTCAGAAGAATTGTCATTAAGAAGTCCAGAGTAGGGTTCGGAACCTGGGACATTTCCAATAACACTGAATGACAACCCTCATTATCCCATTATTGGCTGTGCTATCTAAGGTTGCTGGGAATCAGTCCCCAATACAGGGATTTGGGAGAGATATTACATCCCATTTGAGCACAATGAGAAATTACAGCTTTCTGTTTTAAGAAAAAATCTTCAGTTCACATGAATACCTCTTTCTCCTCTTTTGTGCTGGCAGGGGGAGCTTAGAAAGCTTTTTTTTTTTAATTTTAAACTAACCATATTCTTTTGCAAATTTTCAACTAGAACCTTAGTTCATTTATGATAAGTGTTATCAGAATAAATTGTCTATTATTTACAATTCCTCTTGGACCAAAACAATTTGATGGAGAAAATCACTGAAAAGGTTGATGCAGGAATTAATATCTTTGCTTTTTAATATAATAATTGCATTTTAACCATTGGATATTCAATATTTGTTATTTACTAGGTGATGATACCTTAAAAACCTGGGACATCAGACAGTTTAAAACACCTCTTAATTCTATCAGTGGCCTACCAAGTTTCTTCCCCATGTAAGTAGCTTTTTTCATTTTAGTGAAAAGTGATGTGTAGAAATGGATCAAGATTAGTTCACTGGAGAAACGTTTTCTGAATTCAAGTTTGCTTGGCTTGAACTCAAAATACCTGCAATTTTGGCTTACCAGTTTTCAAGAAATAGATTGTATTGGTAAAGTTTTAAACCTCCATTTAAAACAAGGATGGGGAACTGTGACTCTTTTATGACTTGACTGAGCATGTTGGCTCAGGAATTCTGGGATTTGAAGTCCACAAATCATAAAAGGGCCACCAATTCCCCATGTTTTTAAATATCTGATTTAAAACATTGGCTCAGTGGTTATGAAATATGAATTACCTTGCAAGGCAATATTTCATAGGTTAAGTTGTAAAAGTTGCACTCAATTTACCTCAAGGATCCAACGATCTTTTCATTTGAAAGAAATCTAGTTTACCTTTTTTTTTTAACAGTACATATGCTTTTTTCTAAATTGCTAACAGTGAGTTGCATGATGACATAGATTTGAAGGGCTTTTTGGATTTAGTGAAGATGAGCCATATTAATCCAAATAAGGATATAGCAGAAGTAGTGTCTAGCATAAGCATGGCTATAACTGTGAAACAGTGATAAGTTTGGCCAAGGTGAATGGCCTTGGTTTATCACCATTTGGCCCTAAAACTTATCATTGCTTCATGGATGATAGCTGTGAAAGCCTACACCATTATACTGGCTATAGCCACTTTAAAGGTTTGCAAGGCTGGGTGAATAATACTTTGCAAGGTCATATGTTTATGGTATTAGATCTCCTTGGTTCCATATCTACTTTGGACAGGAATCATGGTGAATATTAAGCCTGAAAACTTTGATGAACAATGTCACGCTACACCTTTTTCAACAATAAACTTCAGATGGAAATTGGCATGGGATGAAAGAAAGGGGGAGAAACCAGGTTTTCCAACAGGGCTTCATTCCAAGTTGCTTAGCTTGCAGATAGCAAGAATTATATCTCCCCCAGATTTTAGGGATAATGCTGGAGCTTTTAAAGCTTTTGATAGAAATTGATTTAGCATATTGCTTTTACTCGCTACTTGTCTATAAGCTCTTAGCTTTCACCTCAAATTAATTTTAAAGAATCTATGCATTTGTTTATTGCTTTGAGAGGAAACATGAAAAATGATTTTGAAAATGGGTCTGTTTACCATTTATCATCTAAAATGGTTGGGTATCATATTGCTAGAAATAGACATTATGGCCCACTGAATTATTACTGAATTATAGATTTCAAAACTCTCTTTATTTTGTAAAGTAGACACATGAGACACTTTTTTATTCTGGTTGTTGAAATCTTGAGGAGAAATCTCTTATTTGGTGGTTTTTCTAGTTAGGGTTATTTGGAATGCTGCTTTCATTTTAATTGCCAAATGCAATGATCATTTTAACATAGTTTTGAAATATTATATAAATTGGATTTAAAAAAAAATAAACTAATCTGTATTTCTACAGGACCGACTGTTGTTTTAGCCCAGATGATCAATTACTTGTTACTGGCATTTCTGTTAAGAAAGGACATGGCAATGCAAAACTTCTCTTTTTTGACCGGGAAACGTTTAAAAAAATGTATGAGATTGATGTCACTGATGCGGTAAGCCAAAGTCCAGTATATCACTTATTTTATTGCTGTATGAGAATGATAGTTATTTCTCAGGATGATGAATTTTGAATTTTGTTTATTAACTTTAGATTACATGCAATTAAATGCAAGCTCGATGGCTAAGACCTTGAGCTTGTCGATCAGAAAGGTCGGCAGTTTGGCGGTTCGAATCCTTAGTTCAGGTCTCCTGTGTGAGCAGGGGGTTGGACTGGATGACCTCCAAGGTCCCTTCCAGCTCTGGTCCTGTTAAAATTCAAATGCAAGCTTGATGTTCTAGAAAATTCAGCTAAATGGAGGGTACTATTCCTGTATTGGATAATTATGTGATCCCTTATAATAAATTAATCCCATCAGTCGGTAATCATAATGCATGTTTTCTGTAGGGTAGGTGAGTTATGCAGTTTATTAATTACAATACAGCCTGTAAGAGGGCAAGCCAAGAAAAATCATCAGAGATTTTTAAGAAGAGATTAGGCAACCATTTGTCTGAAATGGTATAGGATAGTGATGGCGAACCTTTTCGGCACTGTGCCCAAACTGAAACACACATGCATGCACACGTGCCGAAGCACCAGAAACCCGAAGACCAGGTGACCGGCACATGCATGTGCGCTGGCCAGCTGGTGTTCGGGTTTTCAGCACATGCAAAGACCAGCTGCACGCCGGAAACCCGAAGAGCAGCTGGCAGTGGTGCACGTGCCCACAGAGAGGGCTCTGCATGCCACCTCTGGCACACATGCCATAGATTCGCCATCACGGGTATAGGGTCTCCTGTTTGAGCAGAGGGTTGGACTAGAAAACCTCCAAAGTCCCTTCCAACTCTGCTATTCTGTTATATTCTGAATTGTATCCCAGTTCCTGTTGGTCCTGGATATCTGATGTTGCATGTGATTGGACTGGGGGTGAGCCTTAAGGCTGATAATGACATCAAGATGGTAGTTTACCATGGAGCTAATGAAACAAGATGCTAATATTACTTAATGTCTTCTGGATCCCAAGTCTTGAAATAGTTAAAAGTTTTAAGGCAATGAACATCATAGAGTCTTCTCATTCCCCTCTGGGCCAAGCTTGAGGAATCCCTAGCTTAATTTCTCCATATAGTGTTTCCTCTTTCAACATTAAGTCTTTTTTCTAAAAGTAGCAAAAGCAATAGTACTTCGATTTATATATTGCTTTATAGCCCTCTCTAAGTGGTTTATGGACTCAGCAAATTGCCCCCAACAATCTATTTCTTCATTTTACTGACCTCGAAAGGATGAAAGGTTGAGTCAATTTTGAGCCAGTGAGAATCGAACTGCCAGCAGTTCGGCAGTAAGCCGAATTAGCCTGCAGTATTGCATTCTAACCATGGTGCCACCACGGCTCTATAGTAAATAGTAAATTGACGTGACACTGCCTTTAAGCAATTTTTCAAAATTACCTTATTTCTTTGAGGCTATTGGTAGCTTAATTCTTTTTACAAGAGCAAATTTTGTTTGCAAACTGCATTAGGTGTAGGAGTGGGGTGGACAATCTACAATGAGTGCAGTTGCTTGGAATCATTATTTTTATATTGTGGCATATTGTGGCTTGTTCCAAACTCCACTACAAAATGAAGAAATGCGGATTATATCTTTAAGGATGATTAATGGATTTTCCTCTGTGAGCTTTGGGAAGAAGGACAACTGGTGAATATTATGAATCAATCAATCAATATGTTAAGAAAGTGAAAGTGTGTTTGGATGTTACATATTCAAACTCTATCTAAATAGGATGATGAATATCCAGACAGATGGAGAATATACTAGATATGGATTAGAGCACAGCATTCTTTAAATAGTTTGGTCTGAATAATTTTGGAGCACCATACTTATCTCTGTCCCTTGTACTTTATAGCCAGTGGGCTTTTGTCCATCTGTATATTGCTGAGTTCACTTGCTAGATTAATAGGCATTATTAGGTTCTGTGCTTTGCTTATCCTGCTCTTTGCTTTTGAGATGTGATATTATTTGAATAGTTTAGGCTGCAACATTTCAATAATCTGTTTTGGAGTTGGAATCAAAGTCTTGTTGTAAAGGAAATATATGTATAAAAAAAGAATTCAATATCCATTTGCTAACTTTTGATATGATTACAGTAAATATGGCATATATAATTAAGAAATCAATGGAAAGAAAATACTCCATGCCAGCCAAAGAACATTTGTTGCTTCTTAATCATATTTTAAAGTAAAAATCAATGGTGTCTCTGAAATTGAAGGAAGGATAGAAGAATGAGCTTGAGTCCTCCGTTATAGCTCTGGACAGACTCATAACACTTATTGGGTTAAAGGATAAACTACCTCTAATTGGTTCATTATATGAAACAAGACTGGTAAGCCTGTAAAGAAAAACACTTTTTACAGCTGTTTGGTTTTATTTTATCAGACAGCGGGAAGGGGGCTGTCCAGACAACAGAGATAATTTTAAATTGCTTTAGGGCTGTAAACTTACTGTTTAAAACTGCTTGGTAAACAGCCAGTTGATTTTGGCCTGTGAATGAACCTGATGTTTAATGGAAACTTAATGGCCAGTTCTAAATGTTTGACCAAAAAAGATGTCTAGCATTTCTTTCTATCTTAATCATGACAGCCTTTGTTCACCAAACCCCCCTCCCCACCCTTTTAAAGTTTTTATGGGAAAAGTGCATTATTATCCCAAACTTTTTTTTTTTCTAGATGGGGTAATGTGAGAACCTACCGGGTTATCCATAGGCATTTAGGCAGTACAGTCCATCCTGTTTTGCAGTCATTAAGACAGCATTACAACACAGGCTTTTCATACATGAATGCGACATCGTGAGATTGATATGAAAAGCGGTGCAACTTTAATAATTTACTTTTATTTATTAATCAAATTTATATAGCCGCCCCTCTCATGAGATGCTGCTTTCATTGTCCCTCCTTCCCCCGCAGGGACAACTTTACCCTCCCTTCTTCCATTGTCCGCTTGTTATCGAGCCAGATTTATTTATTTATGAAAATTTATATGGCGACCCAACTCAATATCAGTGACTTAGGGAGGCTTATTGTTTATTTATTTATTTATTATTACATTTATATTGCCGCCTATTCGGCTATGGTGACTCAAGGCGGCTTACAGAATATAAAAACCACATTTAAAACCAGTAAAACTAATAAAAAATCAAATAAATTAATATAATAAAATAACACACCCCCACCTCCCACCTCAGCGACAGCCGATCACACGAGCCATTTAATGGGCTCCATCCCGCTCTGGATTCCCCAGGCCCATTGGCAGAACCAGGTCTTCAGTGCCTTCCGGAAGAGAATTAGAGTGGGTGACATTCTAATCTCTGGGGGAATGATGTTCCAGAGAGATTATAAAGATATAATCCCAATATAAAAGCAATAAAGAGTAATAACCTCCCTTTCACCCTCTGATGACAATAAGTTCATCAAATAAGCCAGATGAGGGGCTCCAATGCACTCTGGGTTCCCCAGGCCTGTTGGCAAACCAGTTCCTCAGGGTTTTGTAAAAGAGTGTCATAGTGGGAGCCAATCTTATCTCCTCAGGGAAGATGTTAAACAAGGAGGGAGCCACCACAGAGAAGGCCTTTCTTCTTGGTCCTGTTACATGTACCTCCTTAGGATGAGGAGAATCATTTTTGCTAGTTTCAAAATATCTCACAGATGAAAGTTGGTAATTTCCTGCAGACTTTCAGCAACACAAATTTCCACGTTGAGTGCTTCTATAAACAGGAAGGCAGTGTGTAAATCTAATAAAATGAATCTGAGGAGCTGCAGTTTTCTCATCCCTTCTCTTCAGAATGGCGTATATGGTACAATCTATTTTGAGCCTCACCACAATTTTGTCAGATAGGTAAAGCTCACTTCTCCATTGAGAGTGGAGACAGCAGCCAGCGTGGGTAGTGCCCATCCAATCAGCTTGAAGGACTGAGCCTGCCAATGATTTTTAGTCCCGCCCTGTTGCCGGGCATGCCCAGCTTTTGGCTCAGTCCTTCAGCGCTGACTGGTGTGTGGGACTTTTCTCTGGCCAAAAATTTCTCATTTTCCCCCTTTACTATTGGTGTTTTTCAAAAAATTTGGACTTGGACTGTTTGACTTCGCCTTCGTGATTCGACTGGGACACTGACTGATATTTCTGGCTGACTTGGACCGTCTAGACTTCGTATTTGTGAGTTTGAGTAAGGAACCAGGCCTAGGCTAGCAGCGATCTCTCCTGACTCTGCTAGGGGCTTGGGATTCCTTGCCCTCGATTTCCTCAAGGGAGGGCTTTTTGGACTTTTTGATCTTCGGGGGACATTCTCTCCTGTAGCGTTCCCCTCGCCCTCTCGCTTCCGCTTATTTCGCCTCCGTTTATTATCGGCCGTTTCGGGAGGCATTCCATAGCGGCGCCCGCCATTTTGCATTTCAAAAATTTGCCGCCGTTGGGGGAGAGCACTAAATTGGTGGCCTGCATTCCTCCTCACTCATTTACTGCCGGAACGCTTCCTTTTGCAGCCGCTCCTCTCGGACTGCCTTAATTACATGCGGAGCGTGGCGGGCTGAATAATTCTTCTGAGGAGCCTCGCGCCCCCATCTCTCCGTTACTAGCTGGCAGTTGCGGCCTGTTGGAATCCATCTCGTGGCCGTTTTTCTCCGCATTATATTGCTGACTGCAAGATTACAGCTGAGGAGCTTCGCGCCCCCCCCCCTTCCACCTTCTGTGCTGCAGGGCTCTATCCGGAGGTTTGTTCACTTGAGCCCAGTGGAGCTTCACGCCCCCTTACTCTGTTGCAGCAGTTGTTTGTTAGCTGCTGGCCATTAAAATTTAGTGGAGCTTCACGCCCCCACCAGAGTGCTTCATTTACAACGGTCACAGATCTGTGACTTATTTGTCTAGTTATTTGATGGTTTTTCCTCACTTACAACAACATTTCAAGGGCCTCCCCCCCCCCCAATTCCAGTTTGTGGAGTTTTTCGCTCCCAATTTAGTTGGTCTGGTCTTAAT